TCATACTCAATGTGTTACCTTGATTGATTCCATCATGCAATGCAGTATCATCCTATTATATCACTCAATTCACCTTCTTCTACAGTATACGACGAAATCAATAAAGGCATTGATGAAGACGATGGAGAAATAACCTATGCACGAAATTGAGACGATACCGCGTTTTCAATTGGTAGCTGAGTGGTATGATGTCATCGTTGAATAGACGCATACCGTCATGATCTTATTTGGTTGCTATTGGAGAAGTGGAATAAATACAAGTCCAAGATGATGAATCTTCTTTCCATTGTATTCATCATACTAGCTTATGGCAATGTAGGACCAAGATATTCTACTTGATAAACGAATTGAGCTAAAGGTACAGTAGAGAGCTATCACCGTGGGCCAGCATCTGGTCAAATGTAATTTTATCAAATTTCAGAAATTGAATCATTTTGAGTCAATTTGCAATCTACAATAGAGTACGTGTATGTGCTGATATCATGCTGCTGTTCATGAAATTGGAGTAAGTGAATGTTTGCGTATATTATATAGCTAGAAGAAATGCCGCTTAACCTTCAAGGAATCCACCATCCCCACAGAATATACACTCGGCTTACTGTACAGTATAGATCAGTGGAGAATTTGTTGGAATTGAGTGACGTTGGCCCACTGTCGCTATGGACGAAAGAATCCATCTTCCATCCTTCTGTAACCCCATCTACTCCTTTTCGGAAATCTTTCCATTCCAATACAATCTGTGCGTAAATCAGAGTCCTATTTCCATAATGGGCCATTCAGAATGATTCAGTCATTCAACAGTAGTACACTAGAGGTGTTGAATGATGTTACTGATTATTATTATTTTAACGCCAGTAATCCACTACAGTGCTTATACTACGGTCGTAGAATGAAAGTGTAGGTGAGAAAATGAGGGACAAATGGATCGTGCATGGATAGATAGATACATTATATAGGCATCATATACGAACTATATAGGGAAAGCATGGGGAAATATGCCAAGTCCTGGACTACTAGAAGAAAGACTTTGGTCTTCCATGGCCAAGCTGACGGCCGTCATTGCGCAAGTAGTTGAAGTTCGGAAAGATGACTCATGATGGTTGAATCATGTCATGAGTTATGACTCATGCTCGAGCTGTCATTCGTCAATGGAAGTTGGAGTTGCTTTCGAGTGAGCCTGTACAGATTATGTACAGTACTGTACTGTACTGTACACTGTACAGATTGTGTACTGTACTGTACACTGTACAGATTGTGTACTGTACACTGTACAGACAGTACAGTACAGGATTGGGTTGATTACCCTGGAATGATTCCTGCGCAGAAGCAGGGATTTCTTTTGCTGAAAAATGGCATGGTGAAAAGCGAGTTAGTCAACTAGTACAAGTTGAGTAGTGTAAGTACTACTACTGTACCACCAGTAACAGTACTACCGTAGTCTAGATGGGCAAGGCCGAGCGATTACGTCATCATGGGTGTGGCGTAACCGCCCATCGCCAAAGCAGCCAGTCAAAGTGAAGAAATTGGCTGAGTAAGCAAATCTACAGTGCAGTGTACTGTAATGTACAGTACTCTGTTTGGGAAATGAAGAATACTGTACTGTAGATTGTCCATATTTGGAGATTATTATATTTTTGATTTAAACTAATATTATTGCACTCGTTGAGCTTTTACAGCCATTATTTTGGCAATGGAGTCTGTCCATGTCAGTAGAGGCTGTTGTCAACAATAATGCTACAGTGCGGAAGTAGTGATATCGATGATACATCAATCTGCAAGTATTGTACTGTATACTGTACTGTAAATTAGGATGGACATGCATCACATGAGTCAGTGTAGGATTTCCTTTCTTTCTTTGCAGTATTCAACGTACTGTAGAGTCATTGAACGTTCTGACGTTCCCGCGACGTTTTCAACGTTGAGCGGCCTTTTACTCCACTACTCGTCGCCATATATGGAGATAATTAGCCCAAAAGGCATTTGGCGGTACCGTACCGTACAGGTACGACGCTGTCCGTACAGTACAGGTTCTTGTACAGTATTGTACTGTAGCTTCACTTGCAAAACATGCCTCAACTTGTCAACCCGTCTACAGTGTACAGTACTTTATACTGTATGCCATCCAACGGCGCTACGGTGGTGTAGGATCAGACACAATAGCAGTCATGTTGCGTCACTATGCCAACGTAGAAGTAGTCACTGACCATCGACTAACTGTACTGTAGCGTAGAGTACAACAAAAGGTAAACACAACACGTTTCAACACCTCCTGTAGTAATGGTACCGTTCTCCATGTGCTATTTTTAGCTGGCTAGGTTGACGTTGCGGCTGACATTGACATTTGCTTATTGTTCAAGCCATTCAGCGTACCCAAGACACGAACTGTACGATACGCGCGTATTGTACCGTATCGTGGCATATAAAAGAAAGAGCTTGCCAGTCGGTGCACAGTTCGCGGATTCCGTCAGCAGAGGACGACGGTACAATTGGCGCGTTGGTGTTCATTGATTGGGTAACCGCCATACGTCAACTTGGGTACGCTTGTCACTAGATTGCCATTCGAGTTTGTGTCGTGTTGTGGCTTGCCAACGAGGAAAATTTCCAATCATTCTATCGACTCCCATCATCGTCTTGTTTTTGCACTACTAAACTCGTGTTGTATTCCTCCAATATTGTATTTCAATCCAACAGGACTTCTCTCAATTCATACATTACTTGTTTAGTTCAAGCATCCCCCCCCCCGGCCCAAATCAATCCTATGCGCCATTGATTTCTAGCATACACATTGATCATGTCGGACGTTAATGTAAATCATTTGATACATCTTTCACTGGTTAAAATTGCCAAGAATTTACAAAGCCGTAAAGGTTGCGAATTGAGACGGACGTTATTATTAAGTTCCATCTTAGATCGGGCGAGATACTGTGCTACGACACCATGCAGTGAAAGTGACGAAATGATAATCGGAAATGATGACAACAAAAATTCATGTCAAAATGCGATAGTGGCCCATGCAAACGATTACGATGAAAGCCAAAATGATGCTGTTTGTCAACAATCCCAACAAGGAATGGAAGATTTATCCACAGTGTCGATGGATTGTGAAAGCGTAGCGGACGACAGCAAATTGATACTAGAGAAAGACTCTCAAAGGAGTGATGATATCCATCACAATGATGCCAATCCATCCCATCAGCCGAAATTAAGAGATGATGACCATTGCAACGGTCAAAAAAGAAAGTTACTCATTGTTAATAAAGATCAAGTTGTTCCCGGTGATTCTGTTGAAATTACTGAATTGGAGTACTATCGGGAAGAAGATGAAAAAGATGAAAATTCACTCATGGATTTATGCTCACCCACAAAGCGTATTAAAGTTTTCTAAAGCAACATAGACTCTATCTTCACTAGTTTTTTTTTTATTTTACATCAATTAACCTAGTTGGATAAAGAATTACTTCAACGATAGAAAGAACTTCCTACTCAACATTTCCATTGAGCAATGACTGACATAAAAAATACTAGCTAATACAGCAATAGATTTCATAGTATATTGTTTTGTTGCCGACA